TGTGTGTGTGTGTGTGTGTGTGTGTGTGTGTGTGTGTGTGTGTGTGTGTGTGTGTGTGTGTGTGTGTGCGTGTGTGTGTGTATGTGCATATGTGTGTATATGTGTGTGTATGTTACGAAATGAATGCGCTCACGTTTCTCAGCAATCGCTCAACCGATTTGGACAAACTTGGTGCCAAATGATAGGTCTTGGGGTCCCATTGAACGGTTTTGGAATCGGTGAACCGGTTCCGGAGATATGGCCGGAATAAGATCCGGTGAATATGGGCCTTCACGCTGGATTTAACGGAAAACGTATTAAAACCATCATGCGACACATCAAATTACTACAGAATTCAAAAATAAGATCAATGCAAGTCGTGTTAAGTGTTCCAGACCACATTGGACACACTTGGACATGTTCCGGGTACCCCGGGGAAGTTGCTTGAATATGAATTGAATTAAAACCCATTAAATCACATTAAAATACGAAGATAAGGTGATTGGTGAGGCAAATAGACTACACCCGGATATATTCCGGGTACCCCCAGGCAGTGGCGTAGCGTCACTGGATGACACGGGGGTGGAGGGCTTGGTCACTGATAATGACAATAAAATAAATAAACTTGAATAAGTAAGAAGGGTCTGATCACACCATAGATGGATAAATTTGGGTTTTTTTTTTCCTTTGGTTTGTTTTTTCCGTCGATCTTGTTTTCCGTGCTGAGCACCAATGCTACCGACGTGCCAGGAAGGCAGCTCCCACACCTGGACCCTACACCTATCGACCCATCAACTCATGAACCGGGGACCAACGGCTTTACTTCCCATCCGAAGGAAGGCGTGATCAGAGATGTTGCGCCGACTGGGATTGAACCCAGGCCTGCTGGGGTGAGAGGTAATCACGCTTACCACTACACCACCGGCGCCGTTATTTGCAAACTTAGCAGTGTGGTTTTTAATAAGAAACTGGTTGAAATTGGAAAGAAAATCGCAGACAAGAGGAAGTTTCGTGATTTGGCGAAGGATTTCGTTGTGCAAAATTACGTGGGTGTGTGGTGTAGGTTGAGTGGTGATGAAAGTTGTAAATATTTCCAGAAGAATTTTGATGCGGGAAATTTTGTGCGTAATTTTCGCTGTACACATTTCGCGTTGGCCAAGGAAAGGGTTTTTTTTAAGGAGGGTGAGGAAGTGGAAGCAAAATCGAAGAAAATGAAAAAAAAAACGTCCGTGGCTATTAATGAACAAATCATTGTCGATTCGTGCGTGAAGCTTGTGGCTGTGAGGAATATGCCTTTGTCTTCGATTGACTTGCCCAAAATGCGTGCGATTCTTGACGCGCTAGCTAGTGCGTTAGGTACCAGTTTTTCATCGGGGAAAACCAAGAAATACATTAACATCGATGCTGATAGAATTCAGAGATGAGAGGAAAGTTAATTTCACTGAAGATCGACTCTGCATCGCGACATGCTCGTCATATTTTGGGGATATTTTGGGGAATATATTTTTGTTCAACCGTAGTCCCTCAACAAATTGGATGGTGTTGTGCTAGTGGTCACCACTATTTCATCGCTGTTTTTCCTGTCTCCGCTGTTTTCCAATTGATTGAAGGAAAGCGCAGAAAAAGCGGTGAGCAGATAGTATCACTCTTAATTATAAATATAAGGTGCGGTTCCATTGCAGCATACCTCACTTCACTTCGGCAAACCCCCAAAAATCAGTCTTCTGACAGCGCCATACACACAGCTTTTTTAATTAAACTTGTGATGCGTATAACAGAAATTTTTCCAATATTCCGAAGTAGTGCTTCACCCTACAACCTTGTTTCTAAGATCATTCGTTCTCAACCTATGTACTCTTATAGCATGTGATGTTCTGAAAACCTCGAAAAGTTGAACTGAAATTCACTGAGATAAACTCTATTTTTTCCTTCCATCTAATATAAACTCTACCCAAGGGCAACATTTTATTAAATTTTGATACTCTGATACCCTTTAGTCCACTCGCAAAGGAAATAAACGTAACATTTCACTAACCACCCTTTATTAGGACAAACCTGTAAGATAATAAAGAAATGACCCCAGTTCGAATTCTTTACCGTTTTTTCCCTCAAATTCAATACATTTTTTACGCTAGAGATTGCTGGGTTGCCTAAACAACAGACAGAAAATGTTCATAAATTATATTCAGCAAATCCACGACTAACCATACAAGGGTGTTTAAAAATATAGATTTTGCTCTACCCTGCTCAATCGATTATAATTTCTGAGTATTCTCCAGAAATTTGAACCCATTTGGTTGCAATCTCATACTGCTCTTTGATTTTTATAAGGAAATTATTACGAGAAAATTTGAGAAAGTTCTATCAAAAAGTAGTCTCCAAATTTTACATAAGAAAAGATAGTAGGCATACCCGTATATCATTTTGGAAAAAGGCTAAAACGAAGAAAATAAATCAAAATCTTTTTTTTTCCTTGTAATTGCCATATAAACCTCGAAGAGCTATTGTAGTATGAAATTACAAACCAGTCAGGTCAAACTGAAATGCAAAAGAATAATCTGGACGGACCTGCTTTGGTGGATGTGGAGCAAAATCTGCAAAATCATTGCAGGGGTTTCTTTCCAAACACTTCTATGGCCACTAGAGGCCCTACGGGCACCTACTCCGGGACAATCCATCGGATGATCACAAAATTATAATAAACAGTCTCCTGCTGTAAATTCATGAATTTTGATACCCATATTGTAGCGGTTTCTTCCCAAACACTTCTATGGCCACTAGAGGCCCTACGGGAACCTGCGCCGGAATGGCCGTTCCGGGAGAAACCTTAAACTGGTCCTCAAGTAAGCTGAAATTGTTTCTTGAAGGAGATTCTACTTTGATATCGATTCCTTCAAAATTCTAGCAAAAGGCAAGAAAATGCTTAGTTCTGAAACAATCCGGATTTCTTAGAACCAGACTATTCCAAATGGACATTGTTGGCAATGTCCAGAAAGAAGACAAGTTTCTGAATCCTATGGTGCCAAAAGATTCAAAATCGGTCAAATTTGGCCGTAATAGCAACCAGAGACTTTAAATATTAAAAATTAGATCGATTTGTTTGAAAACAGCCGAGTTATAGCGGTGAATATAACATATTAATTTCCTACCGCGTCTATCGAGAGACTCGTACAGCATAGCTCACCATTGGAAAAGAGAAATGAAAACAAAATACGCAGCATACTCCCGGTCATTCTGCAGCTTCAACTTTCAACATGCACGATAAGCGGGAGAATGAATGAATTGAAAAATCGGCTTCCACCGAGCTGCTGCAGCAAACAGCACACAAGCAATCGACAAAAGGCAGAACGACTGCGCCATTTTGCCAGTCAAACCAACGTGCTTGCTTCGCACATTGAATGCAGAAAACGTACGCGATCACGCAGTCACAGTCGATATGCGATCCCCTTTCAAGCCCTGGCTCAAACCGTTCCAAATTGGGCCCTGATTAGCCTCCCAAAATTTGAACTCCTTTAGTGAGAAACTGACTTGGCACAAACCATTTGAAGTTTGTATGGGAATTACTATGAAGAAACCATCTCAAAATTCACCAGTTCACTCTTCATTCAAGTCACTGACGTCTTATGATTATGCTCAATCAACTGTTCAGCAGGCAACATTGGTGTTTATGGCGCGTAGAATAGAGGACAAAAATCATGGCTTCTATGTCACACTGCAGAATACAGTGTTGCCGACAATACAGTTGCTTAATCTTGCCATAAGATTATCAATCTCTTAAACAATTAATAACTTTTTCATTTGACGTTTGGCTGAAAAACGATTTTCAGCTGATAAAAATTCCCATAAGAATAGCAATAGAATTTATTAACAGTACAATATGTAAAAAGGCTAAAAGACAATGAACAAAAGGTTTTGTTTTCCCATTGTAATTTCCATATGGTTTGTGCCAAGTCAGTTTCTAATCAAATGAGTTTAAACTTTCGGAGGCTAATCAGGACCCGATTTGAAACCGTTTGAACACCGTGGAGCGAAAATTTCAAATTTTGCATCAGCCTAATGGACATATACCTTGCACATTTTCCTTAGTCCTAAATGTATGTAATTTATTCTGTGTGCACTTTACCATGTTTAAAAGCCAGAATTTTAGAAAATCATAAAATTCCTTATTCTAGACTTTAATTTTGGTTCGTATTTCTAAGATTTAACTGATTATGAAATTTTCCAAATAAAAAAAAGCTAGTTACAAAATTCATGAAATAACCAAACTCTGATATTTTTTTAAGTTTGAGATGCTTAAATTTATGAGATCCGGACGCTATGTGATTTCATTACTAAAAGCATGAACAAACGATCATTGTTTGTTCAAAATCAGTAAGCTTTTAAGGCTCCCACAATCGTGGTCCCGATCGTAAAAAATCCCAAATATAAAATATTAACCATTAAAATAATAGTACGCCTCAATGTCACATTATTGGTCACAGGAAAAAAATACACAAAAACAAGTTGGCTTGACGTAATTTGATTCAATAGCATCTTCGCGAGTTTTTATTTAACCGTAGTTTAGCAAAAAAAATACAACAGACCCCCTCCAGATGAATTTTCTAGCTACGCCAATGGTGGCGGAAATAGCGCAAAATCTGTTTATAAAGCTGTGACTATCAAAAGAGAAAGTCGATGAAGAGAATCGATCAAAGTCACTTACACCCCTTTTCTTCTAACCCTCTCATGTTATAAATATCTTCAGCCCGTAGAAATTTGTCACTTTTAGGATGCAATTTTTTAATCTTAAATTTGTCACTTTTAGGATGCAATTTTTTAATCTTCAAAAAAAAATCACATTACATGCATTGAAAAAAAAACAACCTGATAGTCAGAGTTTGTCTGCCCATCATGAAAGTTTATGATAACGAGTTAGTAGTTTTAGATCCATTTTCCGTCAACTGACTGAAAACACCCTACTTATAATTCAGTTCGAATTTTGACTAACAATTGTTTCTTCATCCTTCTTCCTCCCCACACAGGCCCCGAGGGTTGCAACCTGTTCATCTACCACCTGCCGCAGGAGTTCACCGACACCGACCTGGCGTCGACGTTCCTCCCGTTCGGCAACGTAGTGTCCGCCAAGGTGTTCATCGACAAGCAGACCAACCTGTCCAAGTGCTTCGGCTTCGTGTCGTTCGACAATGCGGCATCGGCGCAGGCCGCCATCCAGGCGATGCACGGTTTCCAGATCGGCACCAAGCGGCTGAAAGTGCAACTGAAGCGCTCGAAGGACGCTTCAAAGCCGTATTAGTAAAGGTACACACACACATATACAAAATGAAGGTAGGAGTGAGGCAGGAATTCACACACCCAGCAGGCAGCCGCATACTCGGGACAACAACACTAGCGAGGGAAATGTCGAGGGGGAGCAGCTTCTACGTTCGTCGTTCTGTTCGTTCTGTCGTCTTGTTTGTTTTACCCGTACAAGAAGAGAAAGAGACAAAAGTTGAGTGTAATTGTTTCACGATAGACTTATTTTACATCAGACAACACACATTGCAAACAGCAGCAGAGAAAAGAGGAAACAATCGCTCGGTCGTCAAGTACTGAGGGCCCAGATGATACAAGACAGACTACTAAAGTGGACAAGGTTGTGTAAGAGGAGTTTTGATGTCCTGTTTTCAGATATGTTGGTGGTCGTTTTCCTGTTTTATCTTTATCCTTTTTTGATTATAATTTTTTTTTTTTTTTTCGTTACTTGTTTAAAAATAATGGAGATAACCAAAAAAAAAATTCCAACGATAATGGTAGAACCAACACACAAAAACACAACTTGCAAACTAGCACAAAAAGCAGGCCAGAGGAAAATAGGAAACGTTAGCTGGATATTTGTTAAATTAGTTTTTTTTTTTTTCATTCACGTTCGCATATTTTTACTTCAATTATTAATTATTCTTACGATTATTACTCTCACCACCGTAGTCGAGAAGCAAGGTAGTAGATTTAGAGCCTGACGGCTGGGAAGGACGGCGGGGATCCACTCCGGGAAGTGTTATTATCGATGTTGTAGCAAAGAGAGTTAGTGGTATTTTTTTTTTCGATTAAAATGTGACGAATTTGGGAAACGAAAAAGGAAGAGATCCGGCGGCCGTGAAGCCTTCCCAGAAAGAAACCAAAGGCTAGTAGTCAGCTTTCGTTTTTTTTTGTTTGTTGATTTGATGCTTTATTTTTACCACCCCAAGTGAACTGGAATTCGTTTTTACTACTCCCCTACACATGTGATTTGCTATCAACCTGAATTGAAGTGAACTATGTTAATTTCAACTGAGACGTAAAATCTATCCCAAGTGAACTAATTAAATTTGAGTTTATGGTATTTTTTGTTTTGAGTTTTAGATTTTAGCTAAAGTTTTTTTTTAGAGACAGTTTCAGCCCTGTTCCGGCTCGTCTCGCAATTTTGCTTTATTTTTATCCTTTACCAGTTTAACGTGTAGGAGAGTAATGATTAATAATTTATTTTTACGCCAATTACACTGATTACAGAGAACCAATCAATCAATTAATTAGTAGTTACACGTATATGTATTAGTTAGGTAAATGGGGAAAAATGCAAATGATAGAAAAAAGGAAAAGTCAATGGGAAAATGTTATACGTTAGCGTATAATTAACACACACACACAAAACACGCAACAAAAAAAAAAGCAACTTAACACACATAGTTGAACACCGCGAGAGCGAAGGAAGTTTGTTAACTAGAAGGTTATGTATACATGTAACTATTTATGTATAATCAGATTAAATGTCACTCATTCATTATTCATTTTCCACATCAGCGCGCCATTATTAATTCTATTAAAATCTGAAATTACTATCAATTTAGTTTGGCGCGATGGATGGGAGGAATGTGGGTTCGGTGCATCCCACCACCCACCAGCACCCGTCCGTTCGTCGCTATGCAACTTGAGCACCTTTTGAATGCAAATCGTATTGGTACACCTACCCCGCCGTGTGTATTGAATGGCTTTCCAGGAATCGATTGATTATATGAGCATGCTGTGGTGGCTAGACTTGGAAGCCGGCGGGTATTGAAAACTTTTCGATGCTGGCCTTAGCTGACCGTAAACTTTGTAGTTGCTATTCCGTGATTGACAGGGACTAGCCAAATTGCCCATACAACCAGCTGAATGGGGCTTGAGATCAACATTCTCAACCAGGGTTGCTTCCTCACTCACTTGATATAAAAAAAAATCGAAATTTTAAAATCATTAGACGTTATTATGATATGTTGTACTTGTAGGTTAAAAGAAGAGGTTGTAAAGTATGTGTCTGACACATGAAATCTGATAATGCCGCTTTCAGAGTGTCGCAATCAGCGATTTTGTGATTCGTGAGCGTTTACTCAGAGTGAGCACTCGCGGGTCGTAAAATCGTTGATTGTGACTATCTGAAAGCGAATTTTACTGGTTTTATGTGTCAAACACTTGTCTTCCCACTTCTTCTTGTATCAAGTACAAAATATCATTATAACATCTAATGATTCCAAAATTCCGAAAATCATTTTTTTATAGCGTGAGTGGAAGCAAGCCTGTTTTCAACATGTTCATACGCCGAAGGGTCATTAAGTTATATGGTCAATTACGGTGCCACCGAAAGGACAGCTTTGTGAGTGGTGTGGATAAATTAGATCTGGTTTCATTTTGGAAAGAGATGCAATCTTTCTTGTCTATTCCTAAGTAACATTGCAAGTTTAATCACGGTTTTAAAGCATGCTACAAGTCTAATGCATAGTCTACAGAACCCTCATAAAACCCTAATTGTTAATTGGGATTTGATATATGTTTCACATCGAAGATGCGTCACACATATCAAAACGGCCAGGCCTACTGTGCAGCATTTAAGGGGCAAGATGATTCAGAAAACATCAGGCCTGTTTAAATCGAAGATGCTTCAGAATCCTATAAATGGATGAAACGTGGACATCTCGTCCTGTACGTTCCGATTTTGGTAATTATATGATTGGTTGGTTGTTGGAAGCATCACAGCTAGAAAGGTTAAGTGATGCTCCATTTTCTTATGACGGTTGGGGCTAACTCTTGCCCTAGCCTTTTATGACCGAAAATAGAAGAGGGAAAGGAAAATGAGAAGGACAAAGGGAAAAGGATTATGTAAACTCTATGAACATTAGACTAATGCAAAATTTGACTTTTCCGCTCCACAGTGCTTAAATGGTTTCAAATCGGATTCTGATTAGCCTCCCAAAGTTACAACTCTTTTGGTTAGAAACAGACTTCGCACAAGCCATTTGAAGTTTACATGTAAATTACTATGGGAAATCTCAACTTTTTGTTCATTGCCTTCTAGTCTTTATCCATATTAAGCTGCGAAACAGTTCGGAAGCCATTCTTAAAGAAAATTTCCTCAGCTACAACTTTGCTGAAGATTGTTTCTATGTAAAACGAGACAGGAAAAAGTTATTAATTATTTAAGAGATTGGTAAACTTATGGCATGATCAAGCAGCTGCTCTGTAGGCAACACTGTATTTTGCAGTGTGATCTAGTAGCCATGATTTTTGTGTCCTATTCTACGCGCCATAAACACCAATGTTGCCTGCTGAGTAGTTGATTGAGCATGATCATGAGACATCAGCGCATTGAACCATTGATAACTTTCGATCCTTGCATTTAATCAAAAAGTGCTCTTGAGCAAAGTTGTAGCTGGGAAGTACAGTTGAAAGATTTGAATCAGACCGTTATGGTGAATTATTAGATAGACATGAACAAAAATCTTGGTTTTACCATAGTAATTCCCATACAAACTTTAAATGGTTTGTGCCATCTCAGTTTCTCACCAAATGGGTTCAAATTTTGAGAGGTTAGTCAGGATCCGATTTGGAATCGTTTAAGTATTGTGGAGCGAAAATTTCAAATTTTGCATCACTCTAATGAACATAAACAATATTTTTGATTTGAAATATACAATATAGAAATGCATCACGGCGCTGGTCATACCCGAGTCTTGTCACTATTATCAAGTCATAAAAAGTAACAAGCACAATGTAATCCTTTGATTACTGGAAAATCCTGATTCCCTAGTTTGAAGTTGTCACGACTAGGGTTCGGTGGTAGATCTTATACCACAAAAAGGTGATCTCCCAACGTTACTGGTTTGAAAAGATAACAATTTACAAAATTGAACGAACTCACCATGTGTTGATGTAGAAGTCCAAATTGTGGGCGAAGCTTAACGAAGATCAACATGAACTAGTCCGGTTTATGGTAATTGCGCGGAATGTTTTCCGTCGACTTGAGATAAACAAATTGTTCGGATGTATGTAGTCGATTTTTGATGTGCATTGGCAAGCCTTTTCATGGCCAAAAGTCAGGTTCAACGCTGCGACTCAACGAATGATGGGACGTCTCGTGGAGGTTCTACTTGGTTTCGGAACAGCTTATCAGCGGCAAATAATAGGGACTGAGGAACTAGAAATTGTCTCCTGAGCCTGGTTTTGGCCAGATCAGCAACCGATTATAGATTAAAAAAAAACTCCACGGAAAAAACAAACGTCATGTTCGATCACACGCACAGCCTACTCCTTCGACTGACATTTTCAGAAAGTATTGAGCCTAGTGATTTGACTCTAATAGATTAAAAATGGATTGCATTACAGTACTTGTTCGCTAACTGAGCGTTCTTTAACTGGGCTGTAGCCAATAAAAAGGCAGTTATTCGTCAAAAATAGACGTCAAATTTAGTTTGACGTTCCGTTGGCATCATTAATGAGGGGCCTTCGAATGGAATATTAAGTGTTAATATAAATAATTTTGAAATTATTTTATTTTCACACTGAAATCAAGACTTGAAAACGTTTCTAGCAAAAGCGTTAGGTCTTCTTAAATTTGCGAGTTTGAATGCTGTGAAAATAGCAACAACAAACTTTACACTGTTTCAATTCACGTGATTTTTTTTTTTATCATTGATCAAACAATCCAGTGAAGTTCCCCTCAGTATTTTTGCCGTTTGACAAGCAGCCCAGTTTATTTGTTTATTTGTTATGTTTACATCAACAGACTAGAAATAGTCCCAACGATGTGTTGTAACAAAAAAGTGCCGATTATACAGCGAAAATGACAAGGAAAGCATTGTCAAGTTACTAAAAATCAGTGTTGGGAAAATATCAAAAAATCAAATATCACCAACGCCCAAGATCACGCTTGATTTTCGTAGACAAAAATCAACAAGCAAACAACTGCGGTTGGTTTTGCAAGCTGTGATATCGCAGCTCGGAACATCAAGCTAACAAAACTCACCAACTGCAAATCTCAACAAACTGTGGTGAGTTTGAGTTTCATGATTTTTGCTTTACTCCCGAATGCAACCGAAACTTCCATAACGGCTGGCAGCAGTCACTTCGTGTCTGCCATTGATGAAGAGTAAAAAGAGATAGCAAACTATACTTTCTCTTTCTAAGAAAACGATGTGCAACGGAATCATGTTTGTGTCGAGTCAACTCTCAGCTTGATTTTTGCACGTTGCGAATAGTCTCGCAATATCAAAGGAGCTTGTAAAATCAATTTCAAGTATGATATTTTGTTCCAATATCACGCGCGATATTGCGAGCGCATGAGAGCGGAAAAATATCAATTGATTTCTGATTTTGCCAACACTGCTAAAAATGTATAGCTGTAAAATTTTACACTTAGCTATTGGGCGTCAAGCGCCTTCGGTCTGCAAAAAAAGTGGAAATCGATCAAGTGGAAATCGAACATCGACGCTACTCGGCCAATGACAAAGATTCACCTGGTAGCAAAAAGTGTAATTTCGTACATTCTGTGTCACATTTTTGTTATCCAAGTAGGTCAGAACGTTCACATTAGCCGCTCCATGTAATTGTGTTGCTCAAGTCTCTTTACAAATTTAGTTAATTTAAAAAATCTACACATGATCGTCACTGACAGCATTGTCATTGAAAATTGACATGATTTGCCTTGACTATGACTGTTAGCACAAATGAGTGACCAAAGCAGAATTGTCAATATCACCGTGTATTGTCGAGATTTTGCACCACTGGTTAGAACTATGCATTTGACTCGGCGCCCTGGTCTAGTGGCTACCACAATGGAGCGGGTAAGTGTGTGCTAGTTGGTGTGTGTTACATACTCCAGCTAATAACCTAGTGATGTCCTTTTGGAACCTCCCCCTCTCTGTGGAGAATACTGACAACGAACGCGCTCCACGTGTCCTTTGGATGTCTGGATAGAGAGAGAAGGTGTGTGCAATAATTATTATAATTACAAATAACGGTCGTAATTAGTCGGAGTGACAATACGCACACGCCGGTCTTCGAACCGTGCTGACCAGTTGGTGTCAAAAAATACTTGAGTACCACCTACTAACATTCATTGGCAGCTCATATTTCATGGACACGTGTGTGGAACATTGTGTGGACATCGATTGCATCCCTCCCGTCTCCTGCTTGGACTTACGATCCCAACCCCCTCCCAGCGAAGGGTTGGATAATAGTTTCCTACTGCGTTGAAAGCCATGCGCCCCCATCGTGAGTTGCTTATGCCCGTTATATTTCAACCTAGGCAAGCATTTGACTTCAAACGGAATAGCTTGGAATTAGGTTTCCATCGAAATTCGTTTGGCCCTGCAATTAGGGATGAGTAAGCAGCCAGACAGTTTGCCAATTGCAAAATTATAATCGGCTATTCTCGGGAAACATAATTGGTAAGGGTGTCTCATTTCAACATGGAACAACCACCACACGTTTAATTTGAACCATGCCAACCCAGCCGCACGCCAATGCCACTATCAGCCCTGCTCCAGTTGATTATGATAAATTATTTAATTACACAAATCCCACAACATTACGCGAATCGGCGGCGGTGAAACTTTTCCCCGGTAATTCGGAAATTTTCGGCCGAACTTTTAGTTGGCAGCTAGCTAATATACGATCGAGAGGAAGCAAAAAAGGAACACTTTCACAGTCGTGCCCCGCGCGCGTCTATAAATTATTCATTATTAATTTAATCAATTTTTCGGTGGAAATTTCCGCCGTAATCCGACAGCAACAGATGAGTGCGCTGTTCTGCTGTGCTTGGGGGAATTCCACGATTGCATTCGAGGTGCCGAGTTCGTTCATTTAGCATGTTTTGACAACCCCAAAAACAGCACAACCAGTAAACCAAACCAGACTTGGAGGATACATATCATCAGTGAAGACTTTGGCAGCGTAGGATTTAGCCGGCAGCAAAGAATATTTCATATGTTCGATTTCAGTGTAGTATTTTGCGTTTTGATTATTTATAGCTCATTCAGTTGTTTCTCTGCTTGTTCTTTTGTAAATATAGAAATATTGTTTCGCATTGTTCTTATTTATTATGCTTTCGTTTTGTCAGTGTGGTGATATTGTTTTCTGCTATGTTTTCATTCTTATTTAAGGTGTTTTGAG